TTATATGACTGTGCTGGGTCTTAGTTGCAGCATGTGAGATCTTAGTTGCAGCATGTGAACTCTTAGTTGTGGCATGTGGGATCTAGTTCCCTGACCAGGCATCGAACCCAGGCCCCCTGCATTCGGAGCATGGAGCTTTAGCCACTGGACCACCAGGGAAGTCCCAACCCTCGTGATGACCCTTGAAGTTAGATCTTATTGTGCCCTTTTTATAGATGGCAAAGCTTAGGCTCAGAGAGGTTGAGTGCCCGAAATCAAGTCACATACATTTCCTGGTCTCAAGTTGCTCACAGCCTGGGGATCAGGACACAGACACAGTGCGGGTTTGAGGTGTTATAATGGAAGAGGCAGGGGACACAGTGCTGCGGGTGCCTAGGTGGGTGACACTGGTTTGGCCACCTGCTTCACCTTCACTTGGTATGACCGTGGAAGCAGGGTCCCTGCTGCTTCTGAGCAAGGAGAATTTACACCATAAGGTTTTCCTCCAGTGAAAACGGGATTATTGAGAACCTGCGTGTGTTTCTAAGCTAATGCTTCGAAAAACCGAATGTGCACCCTCATCTCCTGGGGCTTGTGCACTCTTTGGCTCTGAAGTTCTGGAGTGGGGCCTGAGATTCCGCATTCCACTGCTGTTGATACACAGACCATACTTTGAGTATCAAGGTGCTGGAAGATTTGCATTCAGATCCCAACTTTTGCCGTAAACCTTCTCTGGGAACTTAGGCTAGTCTTTTGCCGTCTCTGAGCCTCAGTTTCTTTCCCTGGTCAATGGGGGCATTGCCCTCCATCTGGAACATTCTCTGAGGCATAAAAAATGAGTGGTATTATCACTTTCTGCGTGCTTGCCTGAAAGCATGGACACCTGCTTGGGGTGAGAGGTTTCCTCCCAGACCCCCTGGAGCCCATCAGCAGGTGCTGGGGGTGGTCCTGAGCCCCGGCAGCCCCGGCACAAAGTGCAGAAAGAGGAGGCCAGAGGCGGCAAGGCCCCAGAGAAGCAGTGGGAGAGGTTTCCGTTCATCACAGAAATGGCCCATTTGCAATGATCGGTTGCCCAGGTGTTAATAACGCTAATGGCATAGGAAGGGTAAACTCGGTCACTTGGCTGAACAGAAGAAATATGCAGAGAAGTGCTCGGGTTTCCATAAATCAGACGGATGCAGCACTATGAGGGAGACAGGACTTAAAATTCTGGTCAGGAGATGGGTATTCTCATAATCCGAGCTAGAGAGGTAATTTATTCTGTTTATATCTTTTTACTGCACGACAAGGCTTGGGAGCAGGAACCCTCCCCAGCCATTCTGCATTTTAAATATTAGTCCTAAACACAGTGGGTCAGATCTCAGGCTCGGGCTTCGTGGGGTGTTCATTTCAGCGCAGGAGGACAGAGATGGGGGCGGGGCAGAGCATGCATGCGGGGGGCTGGGATACATGTGGCTTCACTGTCCAGTGCTGGCCAAAATTACAGCCTCGGGGCAGCAAGGGAGAGGCGATGTCCCCCTTTTCCCAGAGCTGGAAGGCGCAGCCAGGGGCTGGCTAACCTCCTTACCTGCACAGCTCACAGTATTTTTTGTCCTCTCGGAGATCTTTTATTTTTAAATGATAATAAATACAGGCAATGAGGAGATAGAGGAGATGAACAGATACATTAATGTAGGAGGAAAGGGACGAGGACGCGGGAGAGAGAAAGAAACAAGGACAAACGTGGAGAAGCTGGAAGTCCTCTGTATTTTGACCTTGGCAATTTTCACTGAGCCCTTTGCCCTTCTGGCTGGCTTTGTTTAACCCCGGAAGGGCTTTTAAACAAAATCCAGTGAGGTTGCTACCAGTAAGAATTAGCATTCATTAGAGTCTTTCTTGAAGCTCTTTTTACGGCAGCTGGAACATATTGATTTCATTTCATTCATTCGTTCATTCATTCATTCATTCATTCATGTAGTTGTTAGACACAGAATGAGGTCTTAGCTGTGTCGGGCAACGTCCTGGGTCCAGGGACAATGTGGGCTCTGGAAGCAGAAGCAGAAGCTCTTGATTCAAAACTACTCCATGTCTGTGTGACCCCAGGCAGCTCATGAGTCTCAGTCTCCTGATCTGTAAAATGGCGATAACAATGCTCACCCTGAAGGGGCGTTGTGAGGATCATATTAGACTCTGGACAAGACTATTTCAGGCAGAGGTCTTGCAAGTTTGGGAGACTTCAGAAGCAACGGGGGAGCTTGACAAATGTGAAGCATCTTGGGCACCACGCCAGAGAGCAATTCCAGCCATGAGCCAGGGGGCCCAGGGATACGTATTTTTAGCAAGCTTCGTCTTCTGACCACACTTTGAGAAAATGGTTGTGGGTGTGTAGGGACAAATGTCCCTTTCCCACTCTCTTCCTTCTCCACTCAGCCTTCCTTAGGAACTGCCTCCCTAATTAAGTGCACCCAAGACCATGACAGTGACACCTGCAGGGTCACTGCTGCAGGGTGGAGTGGGGGTGGGATTTCTCCTCCCAGAGCCCCTGGGCACTAGGGGAGCTGAAATGAGCTCACAGGAGTGGGGGTGGATTTGAGCTGATTTTGACAACCGTCCCCTTCTCTCTCCCCTTGTCATCGTCCAAGGAAGCTTGTGTGTGTGTGTGTGTGTGTGTGTGTGTGTGTGTGTGTGTGTGTGTGTGGTGTGGTGTGTGTTTGGCAGAGGATGGGATGAGGATTGAATCCAAGACCTATATTTCCTAAACCTTGGCCACGGGTTAAATCGCATCTCTCCAATGTGGATGAAATGCCATTGTGAGCCCATTTCGCGGTGGAGCAAACTGAGGCTCAAAAAGGTGACACAGTGACCAGCCAGATAGTCTCCCAGACCCCAGGGCCCTTGTTCTGTTCTTCCCTCCTCCCACTCCTAGGTGACCTCTGCTCCCAACCCTCCTAACTAAAACACTCAGAGGAAGAGCCCCTGGGGAATTAGTCTCAAGTCCAGATCGTGACGCCAGCGATCACATCCCTCCTGGACTCTGGTTTCCGAAGCCACCCTCTGAGATCTTGATGGGGCCACCCCAGGGTTATTCAAGGATCCCCTGACACAAGAGTGGGCCTCTCCCACGCCTGGTGCTCTCAGAGTTGTGAGCATGCCAAGGGCAAGTCTATGCTCTGTGTCTCTGTGTGCACGATCTCTAGTCTCAAAAAGAAAAAAAAAAAAAAAGACTGGAAGGAAATGCATCCACTACTTTACTTGAGATTCTGGGTGACTGCCTTTTCTTCCTCTTGTTTATCCGAAATTTTTAGATTTTCCACAATGAGCAAGTAGCGTTTGTCTGATAAAGATAAATGTGCTATAAGGAAAGAAAAGAAAAAGCCAGGTCACCTAGAATTAATTCTTGTGATGTCCACACAAAAGAAGGACAGATGAGAACTCTTAGCATGTGCCCATTGGTGGTTCACTACCCACCAGTTCCTTGTCCCCCCCTTTTCCTGCCGCTGCTAAAATGGGCAAGCTCCCCCCACCCTAAGCTTGGGCGAAAAGGCATCCAAACGCGGGACCCTCTTCCATCTATTTTTCTCTCATCTGCTTTTCTCATCTTACAGTGTTTGAGCAGAAAGGAAATGAGGCATAGGAAGCCCTCCCTCCAGTCCCCACTTTGGAAAGTAGGGAAACTGAGGCAGAGAGAGGGAGGGACTTGTCTTTAGGGAGTGGCCTCAGGCCCATTAATTCTCCTGGAGGACTCCCTTCCATCATGCTGGTTTACCGATGGGCACAGGCAGGCACTGCATAAGAACTGCAGGGCACACAGCCTTGCTCTCCCTGGGGGCACTTTCTGTCCTAATACAGCCTTGCAGATAACTTGCACTGGACCTACCAGCCTGTTTTTTTGTTTGTTTGGTTTTGTTTCTGCCACCTGGAATTACATGGGGGCGTAATTAGGAGTGAAGCTAGAATTCTTCTGGGGACAAACAAATCACACATCCATTCAGTCATCAAATATTTTGAAGGCCTACTATGTGCCAGGCTGGCTTGTGTTAGATCGGGGTATTACGTAAAGCAGGGGGAGATACTATTGGTGCATAGTAGCAGTCCGAAAAAAAAAAAAAAAGAAAAAACATGACAGGCACCTTCCTTACCTGGTAATTGCCAAAAGACCCCGCTGCCACCCTTCTAGATAAGGAGAGGTCTTTGCACCCATGAAGTCTGTTTTATGTCAGAAACAAGAGCCAGAATAGTTCCATTCACTCAGAGTGACTGAAGACAGGGGCACAACAAACAAACAAATGAAACAAGGAAAGAAAGAAAACCACACAGCACGGAGGGAAAAAGAATTGTTTTTTATTAATCTTTCTTTTAAAAAAAGTTGATTTTTTGTGGGTTTTTTTGTGTTTTTTTTGTGTGTTTTTTTTTTTTAGGTAAACCTCTTTCTGCTTCCCCTCCCTCACTCTGCCCACCCTCCTCTTAAAAATATAAAATGTCCAACCCCAGATAACTAGTGTACAATAAATAAACAGTAAACACAAAAACATACTTTATTTGTTTCTTCTTTATACAAAATAAGGAAACTAGAAGCGTTCAACTTCCAAAAAAGTATAATACTGTACATCTTGACCACCCAGCCTCCAGGACCTGGGCACGGAGGGTGGTCTGCAGGCCAGAGCCCAAGAAATCTTGGCGCCTTGCCCAGGGGGAGCGCAGGGTGGGCGAGTGTTTGAGTCTGGCCTGGACCCCCGGGGTCAGAATAAATGTCAAAGGAAGGAAGAGGTGGGGGTCTGGCCCTGGGCCGCCGATGTCCGGACCGCCCCCCGCCCCTTCCTAGGGAAGCTGACCGTGATCCTCAAGATTGGCCACCAGGGGGCGCCAACGCGCAGGTGGCTCTGTCTTCCTCCCAGTGAAACCCCCATTCAAGCGTGTTTCTCACTCTCTCTCTCTCCATCTTTTCTCTCTCTCTGGCTGGCGCTCTCTCCATCTTTTCTCTAACTCATTTTGCTCCCCTTCTTCTCTTCGATCTCTCTTTTCCTTATCTTTTTTTTTTTTTAAAGAGTGGAAAGCAGAGTGAGAAATAAGATTACAAAATGCCACTCGGATTGCAAGGAGGGGGAAAAAAATTGTCTCTGTCCCTTGGCTTCAGCCCTCTCTTGGTCCAAAGAGGTGCGGGGTGGTGGTGGGGGGGTCGGGGGAAGTCTAGAGCGTGCCTCAAATCTCTCGACCCTCCGTATTCACTTTGGTCCCAAGAAATTGCTCGCGGCTGCCAGGGAGCGCTGGCGGAGGGCAGGGGGTTCCCGGAGAGTCCCAGGGGTGGATGCAGATGCGGGGGCCGGTACCCCTCCGCGCCGAGCAGAGAAGCAGCTGCCGGTTGAGCTCGGACTCGAGAGAGAGACCCCGAGGGCGCCCCGCGCCGCAGCCGCGTCGGGCGCTTTGGTTTCGGGAGGCTGCGTCCCGGGCGCGGGGGTTGGGGGGGTGAGGGGGTGTGGACGGCCGGGCGGGGCCCCAGGGCCGAGCGCGGGGGGCGGGGGGCGGCCCGGCCCGACGGCCTTACCACACGGCGGCCTCGTTGAGCTCGGGGTTGGGGTGCGACAGGGGTCCGCTGTAGCCGCTGGTGCCGCTCATGGGGAAGGGTGGGCTGGGGCCGCCGCTGAACACCTCGCCGGGCATGGGGTGCAGCGCGCCCGGCAGGCCCGGCTCGGGGCTCGGCGTGTCCGGGTGCGAGATCATGTCGGTGAACCTGGGGTTGTCGGCGGCGTGCGGGCCGGCGAGCGGCGGCTCCAGCGCGCCCAGCGGCGTCGAGCCGGGCCCCGAGGCGGCCAGGAAGCTCGAGTCGGCCGGGGACTGCGCCTGCGACGGCGGGCCGTGCGCGAAGAAGTCGTAGTTGCCTCCCGGCGCATAGTAATCGCCCTGGTAGTCTGCGGACGGGACGGGGCGGGAGAGGGGAGAGTGAGAGATGCGAGGTCTCCGAGGGACCCGGCGGAAGAGACTCGGAGGAGGGAACCCGGGGAGACGAAGGCCAGAGACGTGGGACGTGGTGGGGGCCACCGGGACAGGACGTTAACGGGGGACCGCGCGACACTGACTCGAGGTTAGAGAAAGACCCGTGGAGAGGCCTGCGGAGACCAAGGGAGGCCGGAGGCGCGGAGGACCAGCCCCGGAGCTCGTGCTGGGCAGAGAGACAACCAGACGTACGGAAAGCCTCCACTCAGGGGCTGGGAGAGGCTCAGAGACGATGAGGAACACACAGAGAGGTTCCTTGCCAAAGAGAGACGGAGGGGAGACAGCGGTGGCGGGAGGCGCAACACAGTGACGATTCCTGACAGTGTCTTAGAGTTGGTGAGAGATACACAGAGAGCGAGAGTCACGGCGACTGCCAGATAAGGAGACAGGGAGAGATCGGCAGAGGACGGGGTGAAAGGGGGTTGGAGAGGGGATGCAGCAGGGAGCCCCCAGACTCACAGTCGGTGTCAAGGCAAGAAATGAGCCTCAGTCACCGAGCCCACGGCTGAGACGGAGACCCGGCTTTATTCGACTAAGGCAGAGACAGTCTAGGGGACGCAAAGAGAAAGATGAGACAGCCGTGTGGTTAGAGACACGGGAAAACCCCGGCAGGAGACCCAGGAACGAGACGGAAGGTCGGGAGAGACAGTGGCGCCCAGAGACGCGCGAGATGAGTCAGACAGACGGCCAGAGACGCTGGGGCTGAGAGGCCGGCGAGAGGAGTAGGGCGGGGATGCAGGGGCGACGGACGGAGACCAGAACGCCAAGGGACTGAGATCGGCCCGAGACCCCATCGGGGAGAAGCGCGGCCGGAGCGCCGAGGGGCTGGCGAGTCGGGCCCCGGCCGCGGAACCCTGGACTCGGAGCGCGCAAGGCGGCCTCAGCGCCCTCTCCTTCGCCCCCTGCGCCCCGCCGACCCGGCGCGGCCCCGTGCCCCGCGTCTGTCCCGGTGAACGTGGGACTCTGACCGTTTGTCCCGGCCTCACCTGGCCTGGGACGGAGAAGGTTGAGGCCCAGACACTCGGGAGAGGGGGAAGAGGATGAGAGCACTCGCCGGGCCACGTCTAGAGTTCCACGGGCCTGGGGTCCTCCAGGTTGACCCCGGGCGGGTGTGCCAGGACCCCAAGGTTCTGGAGTATTTGGGGACATTGAGCTCTTTTGATAAACTGATGATAGCTATGGGCTCTCTCTCCGGAAAAATGCACAAACGCGAATTTTGCCCACAAATTCAGGGAGCACAGGGGCTCCAGATGACACGCTCACCCATTCTCAACAAAGTGTTTCTGCACCAACCGTGTGACCTCCTCCTAGAGCCCCCTTTCCTAAAGTCCTTCCGCACAGCCTCTTCCCCTCCCCCTGGGTCGGCCCCGAAGGAGTGGGGTGTGGGAAGCCAGGAAAGGAGCACCGTGTAGCCCGCACTCGTGACAATAACCCGCTTTGTACGGCGGGAAAACCGGTGCGCCCGGAAGCTGGGGTCTCCTCTGCAAACCCACGCCTCCTGCTTAGTGTTGGGGGTCTGTCACCCAGGCGAGTTCTGGACGCCCCCTGCCGCCCCC